TTCTGGCCTCGCTGCATAGTTAATATATTTGGTGGTATGGACATTTTCGTGGTTTTTCTCATGTGTAACGGGAAAATAAGCCAGTTTGCCTTAAAACGTCCTCCACGAAGACATCCATCCTCGTTGGCAGTTAGCTCTTGCTTGCTTTGCCATAATCGAATACATCAAACATTACTTTCGCAAAAAGGTGTTTGCGCATTTTTCGGACAATTTCAGGATATTTAATTAATGTTTCAAATGTAAAGATTATTTTTTAAATGTTCAATATGATAGTCTTTTTCTGTGCTATAAGTCTGCACGGTGATTTTCTATGCTAGAAAGGTTTTCCGTAAAACTTCAGGGGTATAGATTTCTATTCCTACTACTTTCCAGAGTCCATAAAACGCGATGGGTTTGCGCTCAAAATAAGCTCTTTACGAGACCAAAAGCACAATAATGCATGCGCGAAACATCAGAGGATTTCGGAAGGTCTAGTTCGAAGCTGCTAGTTAATAAATAAAAGTAGCACACAGTTAAGAAAACGGCCCTTTGGACGTAATTTGTATATATTTGTACACAATTTTTAATGAACCTTTTTTGAGTTTTCATGTATTTTTGCCCTGCCACAGAAATTGATTGAATAAGTAATATATCTCGAATGAAATTTGAGGAAACAACTTAAAACGAAGTGCAGCAAGAAATGTGTACAATTTAGTATTCTGAACAAGGAAGTTGTGCGGTATTCACGTCAGACATTTCTGACATATGAAGCGGTTTATTTGACTGGATTACCGAAACCTTCGGAATTGCTGAAGAATGAGAAGAGTTTTATGCAAATTCCCGCTGAAAATTGATTCTTCTAATGCTTCTCTAATTGTTTTAACAGGTTCGAAATTCTGAAATCATTCCATATATTTCTTATTTTAATTTTTTATAATTATAAATTGTACTACTTGGAACTTTCTTAGTGATTTGCATCTGGATTTATCAGAATTAGGTAAGGGTTTGAATCTGTATGTGTTAAACTAGAACTATCTGTTTAAGGGAAAGTAATGCCTTCGTGGACGGCGGACTTTAAAAATGAGTTTTTTTTAAGTTTTGTGTTTTCAACAAGAAATTTTATACATATACATATTATAACATCAGTTTATAAAATATAAGTACAAAATTTCAATTTATTTTAAATTAAAAATTTTTAGAACAAATAATTAATTATTTTAATTAAAGATATAAAATGCTCATTGCCCGCTAATTTTCAATATTTTTTCCTTTTAGTTATAAAGACTTGACAAAAGTTTTTGTGTATCCGTTATTGAATATGATGGACCAGAAATTTTTAAAAAGACTTTTTGTGAACTTAAACCCAGTTTTGGGGAAACTTTCACCATTTGTGAAACATTATCACAAGTTTAAACTTCTTAATAACCTCATTTCCAAAAATGCATACTTATACCTGCTATGATATATAATAAGATAGTTTCTTCCATATATCATTCCTTTTTAACTAAAAATGAAACAGATGGAGCATTTGCAAGACATACGAACTGGGAAAAAATTTGTTTTGAGAAAATCGAATTTAAAGTTTTTCTTCAAATTTTCCTTTAATACAGGGTCATGAAAAACAGCAATTTAACTTTAAATATGAATATGTAAACATTAGATTACATTTTCGTATCATTTAACTATTTTTAATCCTGTAATATTAAATATTAGAAAAATAAACATATCGCAAATTGGCATGTGATTCGAAGTTATAGGTAGAAAGAATTTATGCAGTATATCCAATGAAACTTTTAAAATTCACCTGCCTCATGTGTTTTACCTTCATTTTTTTGCATTTACAGTATCTTATAATGCTTTCCAATATGCTTTACTATTTCTGTTTTTTTCCAAGAAGGTAAACTTCTCTTTTTGCTTTGGTTCATTGTAACTTCTTTAAAAATTAAATATTTGAACTCGATATATTAATATTTATAAATATATCTAATACTTGCATACGATGTAGTTACGTATATGGAATATTACGAGAGTAAAAAAAAATCAATATTTTGGTTGAATTTTAATTATTTTAAAGTCCACCGTCCCCTTAAGGGTAACTGGCTAGCCTTGTGTTACATATGGGAAAACACAGAAAAACGCCCGCGCAGCCAGCACATTTGCTGAGATTTGGGCTCAAATCGATGTACCAGTATTTAGCAATCTTATCAGTCTTGTGGCCACTTTTTGAGTGACAAAACAAAATAAATCAACTAATAGAACCATTTAATACATCTAAAACAACATATAAGTAGCTGGAAGTGATCATCTTATATAGACTAAGCGTTTCACATAGGCAATAAGGAATGCTAAAATCAGATTTTTATTCCTAAAATTCAAAATAAAGTTATGACTTGACACACAGATGCAATTTTAATTTTTGTAATGGACTGAGTGAGAGCTCTAGATTGGATTAGAAATTATAAACAAATAATACGTTCTAAAATATATTATTCCATTCCCATTTCAGAAATTTCCAGCTCAAATTTGAAGTAAATCCGTGAACCAAGATTGAATTAAATCCATATTTATTGGCGATTTCCCTATAAACCTCAAAAGGTTGATTTTAAATAAAAACGAGGAACTTAGGAGCTAAAATAAAGTCAACAGTCGACTTTTTAAGGTTACCTTGAATAGGACCCTTCAGATGGGAAGATAATGTATTTTATACAGCTTTATGTGGAAGATTATTCTGTTTGCAGCAGAATCTGTCGTGCATATAGTTTTTTCTTTTTTTTTCTAAAGAAGATTACCATCGTATACATAAATCTATTACTTTTTATAACCATCACTTTGATTATTTTCTCACGTTTTGAGGTTTTATTGTCCAAGGGCTGCAATAATGGCTCAGCTCGAAAAATAAAGTTTTCAGATAAAAGTGTTTAAAGAACTTTTGGGGAGCTTTTGAAATGCAGGAATGATTTGCTAAATGGATGAATTAAGGAGTAAGCCTTACTCTAAGCTTCATAGGAGTTGTGTTAATAATAATTATTCTAAAATGTTATAAAATTAACATGATTAAATATTAAAATTTATCAAATCGTGTTATTGTTGCCAATTTTTTTAAACATCTTGTTGAACAATATGGGAAGCTCATGCTCACAGTAATGAAAAAAATTCAGCGACAAGAAATTAAGCTTTATTTAAATTACTACACTGTGACATGTGGATCAAAATTATAAAATTGCATTCTTATTGTTTCAACGCCACATCATTAATAAAAATAAAAAAGAGAATGCGTAATTTCCCAAGAATAGCCTGTAGAGTCATTAGGTTAATTGTAAGCAGAAAAGATGAAAAATATGCAACCGCCTTCCCCGGGAATCGAACCACGGACCTCTGAATACCGGCTCAGTGTGCAGAACCACTACACCACGAAGGCTCGCTAGAGAAATGGGAGAAATACCTTATACACTCCCCTTCTTAAAGGGCGACTAGGGTTTTAGGGGACCTAGTCGACAAATCCTGGGTCCGTAGAATCATCATCCACAACCCTTTTTAGTTCGGCGCCACTTGTAGAGTCATTATGTTAATTGGAAGCAAAAAAGATGAAAAATATGCAACCGCCTTCGCCGGGAATCGAACCACGGACCTCTGAACACAGGCTCAATGTGCAGAACCACTACACCACGAAGGCTCTCTAGGGAAGTGGGAGAAATACCTTATAAGCCTATATTTATAAAAGTTTCAAAATAGAATGATTAAAATTTTAGATTGATGTAAAAGCCTGAATAACACCTTGATAATGCATTGCTGGAGAGTGAACTCTGTAAATCGTCAAATTTCTTCTTAAATATAGAATAGCATGAAAAATATGCAAGAAGTTTGCTGTAAGCGTTTTTTCAATGAAGCTTCCTGGACAAATTGCGAACTCTTTCTACATGTGGAGCTTTCATATTGACAGTTTCAAAATATGCGTAATATTAGAAGTAATCCAATGATTGCTTTTTACTTTCAGTACAGATATGTAATTAAAGAGTCACCATTAGGAATTACAATAAAAATTCGACATGTCCGATCTATCAGATTCTTTGCATTATCAAAGCATCTAGCCCAAACTAAACAGTGTAAGTATTGAATTTTACATTCCTCCCAAATTAGCTTTTATTTACCATTTTGTGTGTTACCTTTATTTATTAGATATCATTTTCTTCGCACTTAAACCATCAAATTCAATACAACAGCAATATTGAAAAATAATTTTAAAATGAGCATATCTTTAGAATTTCCGATACACAGTCTTGCACGCTGAAGATAAAAAATGTTTTTTTTTTTTTTTTTTTTTTTTTTTTTTTTTTTTTTTTTTTTTTCGTACAATCTTGCCATTGCTAGCTTTAAATCATTGAGTTTGTCAATGAAAAATTCGTTAAAGTTTTACAAAATATGAAATAGATAATAAAACAAATTCCAAATTCCGGACTTCCAGATGCTTATATTTAGTGCAGGATTACGTTATTCAGAACTCGATGGCTCTAGGTACTCTTGTTTTATGACAATGCGAGAAACTTATACACATTTATGCAGATTCTTCATTATTTAATTTCTTTAAATATAACAGAGGGAGGTAATATTTCGTGGCAACAATTTGGAAAGTGAAACGGACATTTAAAGTTTTCGATGCAAAATGGCAAAACGAAATTAATAGTCCTTCTGGGCTAACGATTACGTAACTCAAAATCGTGTTTTAGGAGCTTTGTCAGTAATTTAGCCCATGAACGATGCATGGTTGGTGAAATAAAAAGGAAATTACAGCTTTAAAAGCCTCCTTCATGGAGATACAGAACAATCCTTCATTCTGAAATGTAGTTTGAAATTTCTTTGGTTAAAATATTAATATAAATGGAATTATAAAAATCTTGTGAAATTTAATGTAAATGACCCTTTTAATACAACAATCAGTTTAATTTTCAAACCTTGGAGTACTCAATTTTTTGTTTTGTTCGTTCATTTTACAGAATAAATTTATTAAATTTTTACATGTGCAGATCCAGATGTGACTGATATCAATTTAAACAGGAATTTTAATCTGGACGAAGAGGTTACCAGACGGGAAGAACTGCAGCACATTTTTGAATTTATCGCTACAGAAACGAAAATGTAATTATCAAAATTGTTTTTGTTAATGTTATTTCTCACATTTAACCTTGTGAAAATTTGTATTTAAGAATTTCATTTCAGGTCTGACAAAAGGACTTCCAAAGAGCTGATAGAAAACATATGTAACTATCGTGTTTCGGTAAGAAATCATCGAACTTTTAGTGAATATGGCACTATAAAAGGTGACAAAAAAGGTCTCCAGTCAATTTTTTTCTTTTTTTTCTTGAGAAAAGCTGAAAAAACCTAATTTTTTAAATGCGTATGTAACTAATAAGAACAAATATCATTCAGGTAAAACTATAAATTAAAAAATATATTTTACCATTACTCTTTATAGCGAAGAATGTGGAAAGTTTCTAAGAAAATCTTTAAACTTTATGCTTGTACCGTAAATCACTTCCATATAGTTCTTTTCAAAAGTCAACGTTAAAACGGTATTAATGAGTTCAAGGATGAGTGAAGGTTGCAATACGGTTGAGAAGCATATATATATTTCGTCCAAATTTTACTGGAATATGCGAGAGAGAACTGCGTGATCAACAGTGGAGATAAACATGGATTAATAAAACAGAAATACTACTAATGAGCTGAATTAGATCATGAATTAGATCTTTTTTCAGATGGTAACACTTCCAGAAACAAAACATCATTGCCCTTCATATTATGTATTTCTTCACCTATGATCTTCTTCCATAGCTTTTGTTTGTCATCTGGTAACATCGATATATTTTTATAAGACAATGTTTCTTGATTAGCAATCATGGTTTTGTACATTTCTGGCTCAGCGTACCTAGTCGACTGCCTTCTTTCTCTTGCAGATTTCTCTTAAGGCTCTCTTGCAAGTTCCCATTTTCTGTTTTCTTACTACGTGGCATATCCACATCGCTTATATCTTTGGTAGTGCTTTCATCTGTATTTTCTATCTCAGTTTTCAGTTCTTATTTCAGAAAAATTAAGGTTCTCAGAAATATACATTTTCATCAATATTTTCAATAAGCTAACTAAGCTTGACATTTCTGGACACCACGAGATATTTTAGTGTCGGATCCATTAAACTATATTCCATCGTAGAATTTTCTACCAATAGCATTTTCTTTGACTTAGTATTTAATTTCCTTCGCAGACAGAAAGTAACAGCATATAAAAGTCACAAATAAACAAGTCAGTTTTTCAAATCAGGATCTTTACCATATTTTAAGCTATAAGGCGTAAGTTCTCAGTATAGCTATTAGGAATCTTATTATGAAGATAAGCTGCCGTTAGGAGTGAGTGAAGAAAACAATTATTTTCGCAAACGCATGTGGGAAAAGTTTTTCAAGAGTCAGAAATAAAGCTTCTAGAATCTAGAAGGTAGGGTCTTTTAGAACACGCACGTTATATCACCTGCAGTAAACAAAACAATTACTTGTGAAGCTTGTGTCTCTTTTTGCTTAGTGGTCGATTTTGATTTAAGTAATGTTTTATATGTCCAGATTTCCCTCATTAAAAACACAGAATCTTGTTGCACTGTTTCGTATTTATACCCTTTCGTTTTACAGTGAAAGCAGATAAGTTCCTTTTGGCATGTAGAAAATGCAGCTTTATCTTTCGTTGAATGATAATTATCTATAATTTTTGATTCAGTGTAAAGGGCTTCCACATCTATAAGTCGTGTAGTAACAAACTAATTAAGAGTTAAATTCACACTTAGTTGATTTTCCAACTCAACGTTTACAGTTTCGAACTCTGGTGGAAGTGACATAAACATTTAAATTACTGTATTCATTGAAAGTTATAAGCCTGCTGTTAATTCCTTCTTTTGACAGACGTGCTGTCTCATCAGGACTTCATCAATCTTCTTTAGAGTTACCAGAACTTTCCTGGCAAGTATTTGATTCATTATTCCTTTAAAATCGTGAACACTACGAAGTTTCTCCTACATTTAATTTGCGACTTATCTGTACAATGACGCCAGAATTTGATTGTTTAATATAGATATAAAAGCACAAATACTTTTGTGCATTTAACCACTTCAAAAGCCTTCATTGTGTTTGATTTTAGTTTCCTAAATGCTGGTCTAGCTCCTTGGCTGCGAACGATACATTGCGATCCCAAATAGCCAAAGTCGCTTCTTTCAAACGTCCACAGCATACCCGTCTTTATCACTGGCCATTGCTCCCATACGAATAAATTTGGAGCAATAGATCTATAAACAGCCAATTCTTGGATAAAAGTATCATGAAGAAAGTTTGCTGTTAAAGGATAAATAAATTGGAAGGTTTTTCATCTAACCTAAAAGTTTTAAATACACAAAGGAAAGATACAGAAATAATATGAAAGATTTTGCGCAACGACTAGTACTGCTATTATCTGCTAGATACATGGCCACAGCTGGACTAGCTGCGCCCTTTTTATGTGTAACTCATCGAATCTATTAGTTAGTGTCGGTAAAGTTTCGCTGACCTAAGCGTGCGCTAGACATGTTTTACTTATTATTTCAAAACATAAAATACTCGATATGAGATTACATCTAAAGGGTGTCCCAAAATTAACGCAAGATTTGAATTCAATATGAAAGAGAGTTTTTGTCTTTAGATATTTATTTTTTAAATGAATCATAAAGTAGATAGGATAGAGTTATTTATGTAATAACACATCTGGCAAATGGCTTCCACGGCTTTGCTGGCAAATACGCACCCTTTCGTCGAAATTTTTCATGACCTTTCTGCATAATTGTGGCTGAATTTCGCTGATGCAGCATTTAATTTCCTCTTGTAATGCACGTGTGGTTGTGGGATTGTTGACATAGACCTTTGACTTCAAATAATCCCATAAGAATAAATCTAATGGTGTTAAATCACATGATCTAGGGGGCCAATTCTGATCACCGAAACGAGAGATTACACGATCAGGAAATGTCTCATGCAATAATTGAATTGTTTCATTGGCTGTATGGCATGTGGCACCGTCTTGTTAAAACCACATATTGGCCACATCAATATCATCCAATTTCGGCAGAAAGAACTGTGTTATCATGTCGCGATATCGAGCACCTAGTTAAGAGTTGCTGCTTGACCAGCCTCATTCTCAAAAACGTATGATCCGATGATGCCTCCTACCCAAAATCCGCACCAAACAGTGACACGTTGTAAGGGCATTTGTTTTTCGCTAATCACACGTAGGTCCTCCGAACCCTAAAGGCTCGTTTCCACTACTGCGTACGAACGCGTTGCGTTAATTGAAGACACGCCTACGGCATCCGTACAAGCGTTTCCACTGCTGCGTATCCGTAAAATATTTTCATTTTCCACCGCTAGGTGTCACTGTAATATTTTGGCGCCAAACAAGCAGTTCGCGAGTTAAGACGCTGAACATCTGAATTTTTCCCGCTTAAGCGAGTATTGTTTGTTTTGGATTTGATATGGATCCTTACGTAAAACGCAGAAAAGTTGTGGTTTACTAAATTTCCATGTTATTGGAATTTTTATTTTCTGCTTATGAACTGCGAAAGTAAAAGTACGCTAGCAATTTTACATAAGTAAAGGTTATAATGCATATTATGAACATCACTATTCCATAGAAGCTTAAGTAAATTAAAAAAAAAAATGTGTTTCTAGAAGCCTTAATATTATGAAATAATATATATTATTAAACTAAATGTACTTTAGTGAAAAGAAATGTAAACAAATAAAAACAATATAAAAAGTTAAAGGGATTAAAAAATATTTGTTACTTTTAAAATTTAAAAGTACAGAGCAGCTGTAAGAAAGGTTCACGATATTTACGCAAAATTTGCTATGCTTGTATAACCGCTGACTTCAGGTCTAGCTGGATAATTATTAGAAATCTAGTTTGTTTTAAAATGCACTATGAGCAGTTATATTTTATGCATAATCTATAAAAATATTATTTTTAATTTAAAACATTTTTAATTCATACCTCTTTTTATATAAAGTTATAAAAAAAGATTTTTCTCTTTATATCTACGCGCTTAGGTAAAGAAAATGGAAATATTTAATTTATTAATTCCTACGCTTCTGCTGGAGAAGACTGAATAAAAGCAATTATTATAGTAATTTTTTGTTAAAAAATGTTTAGGGCATTAATGCGTCATGTTAATTGGTAATGAAAGTTTAGATCTGGAAACATCTTAAAGTCTCAGCACATGTATATACATTTACTTAAAAGTGAAACGAAAAAAATTATATAGATATATCTGTAGGTTTCAAAATAATTAAATTTAAATAATTCTCTTGCGCATTGCTGCAAGGAGGAATTGAATTTAACAAATATTTTCTATCGTAAAAAAAAAAAAATTAAAAGTTAATTAAATTTAAATGAAATTAATGCAAACAAATAAAGGATTAATTATTTGCTGCGAACTAAGATACATATCATTTAAATCTGAGAGCATAGTAAATCAAGTGCAAGTATCAAATCCATCAATAAATATATAATTCCAAAAATTTATTTATCCTATTATACACTTATGCTTTTTATAAATTTTTAGGAGTAAATCTATCCTATTTCCTAATTTTTTAGGAAATAATCATCCTATTAATTCACTTATGCATTTTTTAATTTTTTTAGGATTAATAAATCTATCCCATTATTTCTATGCATTTTATAAAATTTTTAAGATAATAAAATTTTTGGAATTATATATTTATTCATGAATTTGATACTTGCACTTGATTTACATATGCTCTCAGAATTTAAATGATATGTAGATTAGTCGGAGCAATAATTAATCATTTCTTTGTTTGCATTAAATTTCATTTAAATTTAATTCACTTTAAATTTGCTTTTTACGAATAGAGAGAATGTTGTTAAATTCAATATATATGTACAGACATGCTTTAAATTAGTATATATAATTTTCAAAATTTTTTGCGGGGAAAATTTAAATATATAACAGCATAAATAAAACATTATTTTAAATGCATATAATAATAGAAATAAATTATAAAACACGAATATAGATCAAATTGGAATAAAAAACTAAGAAAGTTCGCAGACAGGGTGGAAAAAGCGTATGGGATTCGAACTCACGACCCAAAAAAAAAAAACAAAATCTGAACCTTGTACCCGACTAGCTTTACCACTAAGCTAGCATCACACGATAATGTAGTCGCATGCATATTTGGGCTTATATACATCATAAAATAAATAAATTCTTAAAACTAAATTTTTTGGTCCTATTTTTAGTGTGCTATCGTCTAAAAAATTCACCAGAGTTTGTTCTTCAGCTTCTAATACAGTTCTTACAAAAAGTCATTATCTTTTCAAAGTGGCGTTCCGATTGAAGTTAAACGGGCTGCTAAAGTATATTTCATGTGCTTACACATATATGTTATCCAAAAGATATATTTATAAAGGGAATACAACTTAACATACTCTTCAATGAACTGGAGTATTTAAAAGGCTATCAATTTAATTTTATATTAACGTTTTATAGTTTTTACCTGTTTCAAAAGAAAAAATAGCAAATCTTTCAATCATATCTAATTTGCTATAGCATTTGATATAGTCAGACATTCATTTTCATTAAAGCTAAATAGTATGCAGAACTAAAATATTATTATCAGAACAAATTTTACTATTTCATGGACTTGGAATATAATTTTTTTTGCCGCTGATTTTCTTGAACTGAATTCTTGAACGAACAAGTACTGTAGTTGTAGTTTCTTGTTTTTCTGATCTTTTTTTAACGAAATTCAGCTGATTGCTGTCTTTTTCAGCACGCAGATTTCTCTCGCTATAATGTTAATTCAGAATAAGTATTTTTAGCAAAACATTCTTTCCCTATTAGCGAGCGTTCATCGCTACTTCTGCCGCCATTAATTTTTAGTGACTGCACCTGATTGCTCCTTTTTTACCACGTGACCCCAACGCATCCGCAGACATACGGATAGAAGTTGAACATTGTTGAACTCCATCCGTATGTCATCCGTCGCCGCACACCGACCGGATTGCAGATGTCAATCAAAGTGAATTCGTTCGCTGATTGGAGAAACGCATACGCACCGATACGCATACGCAGCAGTGGAAACGGGCCTTAACACGGCAATTTTGGCGATTAACAAAGCCATCGAGGTGAAAATGTGCTTCATCGCTTGGGATTATTTTGCTAGAAAAACCAGCATCCACTTTTTGATGATTAATAACCCATTCCACGAACTCTCTTCGCTGTTCATGGTCATTAGGCTTCAGTTGTTGTGTTAATTGAATTTTGTAAGCATGAAGACACGGATCTTTTGTGAGTATACGCTGTAGAGAACTTCTTGAAATTAGCAATTCTTGTCCACGACGCCAAATTAATGTTCCTTGGTTTTCAGAAACACGCACTGCTTCAATATTGACATTTGAACGGCTTGTTTTTGGAAGACCGGTGTGTTTAGCGGTGAGTTCTCCAACTCATCCAGTCTTTACGAATTTTTCCATTAATCTTTTCACAGTTGACGAGGTTAAAACACTATTTTTACCATATTTTGTACAAAATTTTCGAACTGCGGCTGCCAAACTTTCATTATTTTTAAAATATTGTTCAATAATGAAGGCACGTTGTTGTATCACATGACGCTCCATTTTCACTAACCCTAAACTCTCGGCTTTCAAACTGTTCTTTTTTCAGGGTTGCAACTTAATGCAAAAATGGCGCCAAATTCAAATCTTGCGTTAATTTTGGGACACAAAAATAAAATCAATTTTCTTAAGGGTGCAATTTTGTGATACAATTTACAAAAGAGATTTTAATTTTCAAGAATAATTACTATGATATTCATACAGTTTAAGCTTATAACTAATATATAAGTTGGTTATTACTATAATACTAGTATGTAACTAATAGTAATAGTAGGATAATATAAGATTATTTTTGGATTATTTTGAAAATAATGCAAAAACGTTTCTTGAAATAATCACTTTTCTGCAGAAAATATATAAATAACCTTCACTGGAAATGAAAACTTAAGTTCACTATGATTAGATAGCCTTAAAAAATACATTTTTAAGCTATGGATAATAATCAGTTATGTGTGACGATTAACAGCAGTTATAAATAAACTTTATGTAGAGACGCTGTTTTTTTTTCAACGGAAAAAATTACTCGCCCGAAAGTTTTATTATTCATAAAAGCTAATTTCAGATATAAAATGGAAACATTTAGAAGCAGTAAGAGGCAAAAATAACATCATTAAACTTAGATGCAGTAATATCATTAAGATTTTCTCTTATCTCTATTCAAAAGTGTGTAATGTAAAAAATTTCAAAAGTAATCCATCGTATTTCAAACAACAATCAGACAATCGTATTTCAAACAAGAGAAATCTATACAAAAAGTAGTAAAATATAAAATGTAATGCATTTTATAGCTGCTTTGGAACTGGATTCTTAAGCTGTAAAGCTTCTTAAACCTGAGCTGTATTAGAGTACAGCAAAATAGAAAATTACATGCAAACCATAAAACTGATTACTACATATATGTGAGTATAACATTAAAACTGGAATATCCGGTCTTCACCACATAAGAAGAGGTATCATCGGAGCCATAGGCTAAAGTTTTAAAACAATTTTAAGCTTAACGCTAAAAGTAAGCTATTAATTATAATTAAGATATCCTAATTAAAAAAAGTTAAAATTTTGACGCCCTCTGACTGTAGATGTATTCGCCTTGCCATCATTTTTATTTCGCACTATATACAACATAACAGTGTTTTAAGTTACATTAAAATTACAATAGCATGATATTTCATACAATGACCAGTAAGATATACAGCTATTGAAATCAATAATTGGAAATTTGGACACATAAAAACAGTATGAAAAACACTTTAGTACTTTGAGAAACTGTAACAGACAATCATAAGGAAATATGCTATCATAACATGAGTATTATGTTAATAGCAAACAATATGAAAAAGAGTTAACATAGATACATAAATGTAATATGAATGTTAAAACAAAATTTCTGGCATGACTGGAATCTAGTCATAAGGTTAGGAATAAAGGTCATTTCCTTTAGAATAAATAAGTTCCATCAAATTTGAAATTAGTGATCTACCTCTATCAAAACTCATCATTTTATTGTGTCCTCTGTAAGCGATTGTGGTAAAACCTTGAGTCTACCCTCTCTCGTACTTGGCATTCCATGAGCATGTGAAAAGCGTCAGCCATTGTATTTCCACATCTGCATGAGCAGTAGAAATCTTTTAAGATAAATCCTCAGAGACTTTTGGAGAAAACTTGTACGTTGTTCTTCCAGTGTCGTCTAATGAAATGCGAAACCATTAAATGAAAAGAAAAAGTTACATAAACGTTACTAAAATAAATACTGCATTTTTATAAAACACCTGTTTGGTAAATTCTAGGTATGAAATGCCTGAAGAAACTAGAGATGAATTGATTGGGAAGATTCAGGAAAATCCAAAGTTTCACGAAATTGTCGCCAGTTGCAAGAAGTCTTTACCGTCTCCAGAATGTAATTCTTCATTACTCTATAGAACATTTGATGGTACTTGCAATAACTTAAAACATCCAACTTGGGGCTCCATATTGACGTGCACAGAAAGATTATTGCCAGCATATTACAAAGGTAAGAATATGTGCCACACTACTAAACAAGAATCTACTTTTAATCTGATATTGAAATACATAGAATAAATTAATATTTGATCAATCAATAAATAATATATATAAAAGCAATACCTGAATTTCCTAAGGACGTATATTCAAAATTATCGAAACATTCAAAAAAGAGAGGTAATGTAGCTTCCTGTACACCAAATTTGCCTTCACTGAAATGAAATAATAAGGACGGAACTTTTATATTTCATTACGTAATATTTTATATCAACAGAGATTATACAATTGAAAGCTTAGAATACCTTTATTTGCTTAAAACAAAATACAAAATCAAATCAATTTTTTTAGCAAAATTAATCAATGAAAACAACGTTTTCTATATTCAGACGCACAACACATTTATTTCATAAAAAACTAATGAATATTTTTATTTACATACTACCAAAACTAAACACATAATATTGTTTTTAGTAAATTCAAATCATAACAAAATACAATTAAAACAGTGGTTTATATAGAATAAGCTATTATTTAAATTGGATATAATTAATGCACGAAAAGAAGAAAAATAATATGTAATATATTTTAGTAGGAATAATAGGTTAATTATTTCTATTTACAGAATTCATCTACAGTTTTATATAGCGAATAATAAAAGTATGGGATGTCTAAATAACGAACTCTATTAACTTAATCGCATTGTCAAATGTTTAAGCTACTATTTTTTAAAATTTATCATGGGAGCCTTACACTTTTATTATTCGCGCTATAAAATTATAGACGAATTCTGTATGTAAGTAGAATTATTTAATCTATTATTCGTATTAAAATGTATGATAAAGTGTTTTTCTTTTTTAATGCGTCAATTATAATAAAAAGTTATAGGGTGTTAGTTATAATTTTAAATAAAAGATTATACCAGAAAAACTCTCTTTTTTTTAGTTGCATTTTATTTTGTCATCTTCTTCAGGATGTAACACATATTTTAAAAAATGTAGAAAATTCCTTAATTAATATTTCTTAATCATAATTGTTTTAAGAGAGGACGTAAAATTTGTTTTATAATCTAAGAATATTTTAAAACTCCATTTCCGATACATTTTTAGGTGTTAAAATTTTAAAATAAATCGAGAGATTTTCAAAAATTAAAGTATGATTTTCATTCAAATTTTACTGAAAGGAGTTTTTCCTGTTGTAGCTGTTGGAGCAAACAGTAAAATTAACAGAAAAGTAAGAGTTAAAAGTAATATGACTATGTGACATGAAATAAAACATACGCAATAAAAATTATATTCAAAAATTTGAAAAAAATCTGAAGCGTTTCAGATTTTAAATTACGTCCAAAGGGGCATTTTTTTAACATTTTGTCTGTTACCTTTTTATTAATAAATATCACGTTCACTTAACCATAAATTCATTTTAGGGCATATCGCAATAGTTTTTAAATTGAGCAGATCTTTAGAATTTTCCGATAGAATTCTCACGAGCTGGAGATAAATGTTTTTTCTGTACAACGTGCCATTGCTCGCTTTGAATCTTCGAGTTTGTTACTCAAAATTCGTTAAAGTTTTACGAAATAGGAAATCGATCATAAAACAAATTCCAAATTTCAAATAATAGGCTTCACATCCATATTACAGTAGGATACATCATTCAAAATTCGATGGCTCTATGTTTTGTTTATCACATGAGAAATATACATACATTTATGCAGATTTTTCATTATTTAATTTTTTCAAACATAATGCAGGACTCGAACATATGGTGGCAACAGTTCGAAAAGTGAAACGGACATTTATAGTGATTCAACGCAAAATCGAAAATCGAAAACAATAGTCCTTCAGGGGCAAAGCCCCTTTGAACTAAATAGTACTACGGAAATAAAAAGTTTTATATATTGCCAAAAATTTTGGCATTAAAAAGTTTTGAGATTTATGAGGATAATTATTTGCATATTCTGAAAGAATTTCATTGGCGCGAGAAGATAGAAAATTAAAATGCATCGGCTCCATGATGTATAAAGAAAAAAATATGAAAATTCCATGGTTGCGCGATCAGTTTAACGGAAACGATATTTACGTACGTATGCCCGAATAAACAATGCAATCGGAACGCCAGTATATTTTGAAATTCCTTAAAGTTTTACGCTAAACGAAAAAGTTGAAAAATTTCATAATAAATAAACAGCTATCTGTGACAAATAAAGGTGTACTGTGATGCTGTGGGTTACTGTAGACACAAAAAAATTTATATTACTTTTAAGTCTAAAACTGTTTTCAAAATTAAAATATCTAATATTATTATTAAATTTCCAAAAATTTACTTTATTAATGCCTCCTTTCAGAATAATTTTGGCACGTTTGGGAGATTAAGCTGGAGAAAAGCAAATAGTATACTAGTTCTTAATAGTTTTCGTCGTCATGCAACGGAGAAAGTAAAAAAAAAAAAAAAAAGGCATATCTCCTCTTTAGATTGGGGAAATAATTATCGCCTGGGGCCTGGCTTACATATTAAAACAATTCGTTAATTTTTTTAAGAAGTTCAATGTATGTTTATGTATGTAAACCTTCGGTAAACACAAAATATGCCTTCTCTGAAGATATTGGTAACTAAAATGATAACGTGAATGACTTCTGACGTCTGACTTCGTTTTCAAATAAACTGTAAAACTGCATCAAATTTTGGAACATTGTCTCATATGAAAGTTATTTCAAATTGTTTTCTACACTTTTGATCAAATTTCTTGGAGAATAACATTTGTCAACAATATATCTGAAAGTTTATCTCTGTCAAAATCTCATAATTTTAATGCACGGATATTCTTTTTTTATATTGTTACGAATTTGGTACTTAAAAAGCTAATGTTAGATCAATTATAAATTAAATGGTTTTATTTCCCGCGCTGTGCAGTGCGTGACGAATATTAAAAGAAAGCTAAGCCTGAAAATTGAAAATACAAGAGCGCGTGCATTAAACATTTAATAAATATCTCTTTTTGATTTCGAAAAGTACTAGAAAATTCTCGCGCGCGATTTTAAAATCTTATAAAAGGAGGAAAAACTCTCAGTACTGTTTTGAATTAAGTTCTTTTGAACGTTTGAGTATTTAAAAGGTAACTACTGTGAGATATTGTAATACTGCACGAATATTTTAGGAAATTTAAGCATATTTGTTGTGATAATAATAAATTTTTGTTCCTTTTTCATTGGACTTGTGCATTCATTTCGTAACGAACCCGTACGCACGCAACAATTTTCGGTGTCAGAAGTGGAATTCACTTCACATTCGAACGGGCTTTATCCGGAAATTCGAAATCGGTGATGGGAAGACGTTTCCGATGGCAGCTGATATTCCAAGATCCCGCATTCCTAACTCCTTAAGAATTAACATAGAAGCCCTACAGGAGGCACTTTGGAATAATGAAAGACCTTGCAGAGTTTCGTGAGCGCTTTACTGAATAATCAAAGGATGACATGCAAAAGGGTGCCGATCTTGCGATCCTGTGCAGGTCGGAAAGGACCGAGGAAACGCAGCCGGGCAAGCCGCAACGTTACAACGTAGGTGCGCCCTTGAACGTCGCCTTTGACATCTTGGGACCTCTGCCACGAACTGTTGATGGCAACAAATACATATTCGTTGTCTTTGATTACTTCACCCCAAGTGGCCTGAAGAGTATCCTATTCCTGATCAAGAGGCTGCCACAGTAGCTGAGGTGATATACACACTGGATTTTCAGTCGGAGTGCCCTCAATACATTCCGATCAGGGAAGGAATTTTAACGTTGCTTAATAAAAGAACTCTGCAAACTTCTCGGCATTGACAAAACCAAACAACAACCATTATATCCCCAGTCGGACGCATGGTAGGAGGTCATCGAACCTCCTTATCCTTCATTAGTGTTCCAACAGCAGACTGTACAGAAATTATAAAATGTTTTTACTGGCTTACCGCAGTGCTGTCCACGAGATACGGCTATTCCCATCACAGTGCTCTCGGTCGTGACCTTCGTCTGCCGTGATCTCTTGTTTGGGTAGCCCTCCGGATGCTCCTTCAATCGCCTGAGGAATATATTCAAGATCTCCAGGCCCGGTTTGAAGTGATGCCCAACTTTGCACGAGAGCGAGTCAACTGGCGACGGAGAAGATGAAGACCCGTTACGACACAAGAGCACGAACATCAATTCACGAAGGGAGACAAGATTGGTTGTGGAATCCGACTCGACGGAAAGGTTTTGTCCGAAATTACAGTCACCTTGGGATGGTCCGTACACGGTCCTAACCAGGCTGAATGACGTCGCGGTTTGGATTTAAGTCTTCGAACTCGAAACCTAAGTCGTCATTCGACAGGTTAGCTCATTTACTAGGCCATATTACGTAATGAATAATTGTAAATAGTGCAAGACCATGGTCCTTTTTGTTCTAAATGTTTTAGTATTTGATTTGTATTTGCATTTGAATTTTGTATTTGATAGCATTTGATTTGTTTTTTATTGCATTTATTGTCCGTGTTGTCCTAGAAAATTCTCGCGCAAGAATTTTCTAGTACTTTCTCGAAATCAAAAAGAGATATTTATTAAATGTTTATTGCACGCGCTCTTGTATTTTTAATTTTAAGGCTTTGCTTTCTTTTAATATTCGTCACGCGCTGCACTGCCGGGAAATAAAACCATTTAATTTATAATTGAACTAACATTAGCTTTTTAAATTCTGGGAGAGTGACCTCCCACGTGACCTAAGAACTTGAGTTCTATGTTCAGCCTTGTTGTAGGACTTTCTGATTTTTTAGGACTGAAATTTCTGGTATTCCTTATATTTATCATATTGAAGAACATGAGAAAAATAGTGATTTTTCGCTATTGCAACCCTTATTTATTATTTACTCTTTCATCAGTTTTGACAAGTTTTACGCTAAGCGAATCAGAAGCCTGATCCGCTCACGTGATATTGATATTCTAAGTATCTCTGGGATAGACTTTGAATTTGTAATATATGTATTTTGTCTAACATTTGTTCTGCATTTATGTTTTTTGTAACTCTTACTAAAATATTGCTTTTCCTAAACATCTTTCGTTATAATGAAACCATGATTCTGTTACACCACCCCCCTCACGTTATCATGGACTCAGAATTTCAACTTACAGGACTGCTAGACTGTATATTATGTATGATTTGGGTTTATTTCCATATTTTGTTACTCTGATGATTTATGAAAAATTTCCCTTTATGTAATATTTCTGCAAATTGTACATTTTTTTCTTCACCATTTCTAACCTAATCTCGCACATTAACCGACTCTTCACACCTCACGTGACAAGGTAGTCACGCCCCTCACATCTGCAATCCTGACTTGGTCCACTCAGGTATTCTCCTACTTTCAGCGCTCTATAGCAACTAACTCAGACAGCCGGAACAAAACTTGCAAATCCTGCAAGTTAATCAGCGGCGCATCCAGCGGTACTTGGAACTTGGAACATTAGCTTTTTAAATACCAAATTCGTAACAGTATGATCAAGCATTTCTCGAAGTTCTTCAGCCGATTCTTAACCAAGTTTGGGATAGTTTATGATCGTTTGAATATGTTTTTCTACGATTATCCTATTGTTCTTTTAACAGTCTTAACATAATAATGACTCATATGTCCGAGGTTTGAATTAATTTTGCTTGGTCTTGAAGCGCAGCAAGTAAATAAAAAAAATTTTGAGAATCAATTAAATGAGGATTTTTAAGTATTAGATTATTAAATAGATTTGAAATTACTCCACTCCTGGTACAAACTAGAGAATTCTGGTAGGGGAATTTGGGAAAGAGGAAAATTGGGAGCGGTCAAATGAAAATTAATTTCTTTCATAAATATGAAAGAAAGAGCCAAAATCTTAACTAGCCTAGGATGAAAAGTCCTGAAAAGTGAAAAAGCTATGCATTAAAGGTGGCACCATCTGTGGTCTGGTGCAGTTGTTCACAGTCATCGTTCGATACAAGTAGAAGAGAATTAAATATTCAATTTTTCAACAAGTCCAAGAAACTACAGGGAAAACTGTAGATTTTCATTCACTGAGTTCAAATCTTTAATAATGTTAGCTGATTCTAAAATTTTGCCGAAGAATCCCGCAAATTTGCTGAATAAGCTAGTGACTTGCGAATCAGATTTTAACGTAATGTTCGAAATCATTAATTTAGCAACTGAAGCTTTTGAAGCAGAAATAACGTTAGGAGTCGATTTTCTAGGCTTTTCGGCTTTCTTTTAAATTCAATGGGCGGCTTGAGAACAGTCTTGTCATCTCTTATAGCATTACGAAGTTTTGGAAAAAATTCGCAGCCTTTATAAGACGCAATGTTCGATATTTTACACCTGACACAGGTGAGCATTTCTTCTTTTGTCAGAGAGCAAGCGTAGGTTAGGTGATTAGAACCACACTTCGAGCACCTCGGCGCATTGTTGCAAAAAAGCTGTGCGTGGCCGAATCTTTGGCATTGGAAGTATACCACTGTATTTCTATTCGATCTGAATTGCCGAAATTTAACATGAAGACTCGGAGAGTTTTCTTACTGTACACACGTTTGCTGGTATCATTTCTTGTCAGATACGCAGAAACTACAGGTAGCTTTATTTCCGTTCCATTAGCATTGCGGACAAATTGTGTAACCTTAAAAACCGAGAAACCATCATTTATCAGTTCCGTGCAGAAAGTATCTTCAATATCCAAGTCTTCAGGTAGTCTTCGGAAAACGATCTTAAGAGCGTAATCTTTTTTTCTGGCGAAACGTAGTAAATTAAAACTCATTCTTTAGAAAAATTTCAAGAGCGAGATCAACGGAAGTTAAATTTCAAAATCAACAGGGATACCGTCTTTAAATTTTGAACTTTGAATAATAAAACCAAGTTATATATTTAGAATTTATACTATCGTTGCCAATTTTGAAAAGACAATCTTTTACTTGTTAAGAAAAACAATAAACAGTAAAACAATCTTCAACAACCCCTTTATGAAATACCCTATATAATAGCTTATTGGAGGGAAGTGAAAGTGTAATAATTTTTGAGAAAGATATTTTTTTAAGATTTTGAGAGATAAGTTAAATGTAAACTCAAATATATTTATAAGAGTTAAAAATTTAAGAAGCTTTTTGCAACCTATCTTTTTCATATCCATAGTACTGATTTTTAATATTTGAAAACTTTTCATGATTCATTTTTATCAGATGTTTTAAGACCCTGCATCTTCCTTGTCAAATTTAGGTTACTCGGGTTTTCCGGAATCTGTCAAAGGTGGACCTCTACCTGATGCTAGGAAATTATCAGTGAATTTGTTTCCTGACAAAATCCTACCAGCAAGAAACGTTTCACAGATGTTTGCATTCTTCGGCCAACTGCTGTCTCATGATATAACACTTACACCGCCCTCAACAAGTGAGTAGAAAAAAGTAAAGTATAAAAGAAAAGTAGAAATTGTAATACAAGTATCACTTAATGCTTTGTTTATATAAAGTAATGGTATTCTTGAAAACCCAGGGCCTAAAAATGATGCTGTAAATAGATTTAATGGATTGGACAATCGATTCCTTGAACCCTTTGAATCTTTAATAGATACCAGGCTGATAACTCGAATTTCTGCATTTTTATCATCGTTTCGAATCTTTATCTAAAAAGCTGTTAAACGCTCAATTCAAAATTTGGGAAAGGTTAGTTTTGTTGACATCTAACCTAAGTGGCCATTAAAACAAGAACGTAATTTATCACAATTTCAGTAGTCTCTGACTTATCATTATAATCTCTGAGTGCATCTTGTCATTATGATCTCTGTTTATCACTTTCACCACAGCGACGCTGAGTGTCACACCATTTCAGTATACCATCAAGTAAATTCAGTCGGAAGTTTTCAACTAATCGGTCTCAAAATTTACTCTCGAATCATCTCGGTATTCGGAGCACAGGTAAAATATTGGTAATAAACCCTGGATGTTTCTAGCAACTCATATCATGCTTTATAAATCCTGTGTCGCGCGCATGAATTCATGTGTCTACCAACTGAAACATTCAGGTATGGCTGCTGAATTTTAAATTAGTAACTCCTCTTCAAATATTTTTTATCAAACAATGTTGAAAAAACGAACTTCTTGATACTATTATGTACTATATCTTACCATATACTTGATGCTATTATGTATTATGCTATTACTATATACTTGATATTATTATTTACTAATACTATTACTATGTACTTGATACTATTATGCATTACACTATTATTTCCTGATATTATGCACTTTTAACAATGCTCATTAAATTTCATTTGTATCTCCTTTATAAATATATAAGTACTTAAACAAACTCTATCCTTGAATTTATTTCTTTTTAAACTCAGGTTACAAATTTTGCTTTTATTTATAAACTTTTTATATTAAAAACAGATTTTTCTTACCGTCATTATTCCTAGTTAGAGGATTCTAGCAACTTGAGCAACAAGATCTGGATCCGGTTTCGAGATCGATGAAATTTTGGATTCGTATAATATTTTTTGGACCTAGTATTTTTCATCTTTTTTCTGAATACTAGAAAGCAATGTCGAGTATTCATAAATATTAAATTATCAGGATATTACTCTATAATAATTTATCTACTATTTTGAAAAGTGCTTTTAATTTTTTTAATTCTATGCTATTTTCCCTGAATAAATTTTTAGAACAGTTGTTTTAGCAATAGAAGAAATCTGATGTTATGAAAGTTTGGATTTGTACAATTTTTAGTATTTTTTTATCTCCTCTCTAACTACTAGAATGCAATGTCAGGTACTCATGAATATCAAATTCTCGGTATATTACTCCTTAATAATTTATCTACTGTTTTAAAGAAAATTTTAATTTTTTAATCTATGTTATTTTCCTTGCATAAATTGTTGGAACAGATTTGTTTGCAATAGAAGAAATCTGATGTCATTTGCAGTTATTGTCTAAGATGAAGTCTTATTTTTTATTGAACACTTTTCGGTTAAGGCTTCGTATTATTAGGACTTTGTAAAATTTATATTTTTAAGGCTTCTTGTATAATTCTTTGTATTTTTAGAAGCATTTAAGGATTACATAGTCGTAAAATGTTAATTTCTTTTAATGTGATGTGAAATTTTACGGTGTTCAGGAAGGGGTAGGTTGAACAAAAGAAACCCGGAATCCTATAAGAGTGTAAAATCTTCAATTTATCTTAATGCTTTATGGTACATAGATGACAAGAAACGAAAGAATAGCACATAAGAAAACAAAATGCATTTTATCATTCTCAAGATATCTGCGGAATATACTGAGTTTGCAAAATATGTTCAAGTTTGAGACCATGTGCTATATCAGATGTTTGACATGGCCGCCATATGGAATCACGTGTATTTTGGAAATCTCCCGGTAAATTTCTTACTTGTGAAGCGCACATAGACATGCGTGCTACAAAGCGCTTATCACGTTTAATGCGGACATCAGTCTATTGATAATGCCGCAGAAATTATCATGGCACATTAGGTCAGACGATCTTACAAGCAGGCTATTTATAAATGATAGTAGCTTCGGAAAACAAAAAATTTCGCGGGAAAAAGCATGAAGATTTCGCATTCAAAGTTACATTAATTATATAATTCCGATTTATCTTCATGCAGCTTATTTTTAGTAAAATTCTGCACGCGTATAGCGGAATCATACTTCATATTAATATTGAAAAAAAACTCGACAGCTAAAACGATTTCTTTTGTAGTGACAGTATGTAAATGTACATATAAAGAATATATTATTAAATGCTTCATATTTACTGAATAATATAATTACATATAGCGAATGTTAAAAAAAGTCTCACACATTGAACTTCAAAAAATTTGGAAATTAAAAAAAAAAAAAAAAAAAAAAAAAAAAAAAAAAAAAAAAAAAAAAAAAAAAAAAAAAAAAAAAAAAACAGAATGCATATTAATGGAAAAATTGTTCCATTGGAGAACACCCCTATGCTGTTACAAGTAACAGATCACTTGACATGTTTGCTACAAAATGGAGATGAGATGTTTTTTGAATAACTGCACTCAACAGCTCCATATGAGTATCTGCTGTTAATAAAATCTTTCATCCTACTTCTCTACGGACGGTTGTCCAATGACGCTTTTCAGTTACAGAACAACTCCCTCTATCGCTTCAAACCCTTATCAGATCTATCATGATGCAGTTCAATAGGAAACGTGTCCGAGAAACATGAAAGAAGTACAAAAGTACTGATCGCACTGATGGATTATTTTCCTTTCTTTCGAACGCGAAGCCGTCGCAGTTTTTTCTCCAGCGGCGTAAAATATAGCAGCTACATACTTGCAACACTTTTTGCTGAACACAATAGTTTGGTTCAGAAATTTCAAACTAAAGATGAGAAATACACGTTTCTGGGAAAGGTTTCTTATTCCGACGCTTGGCGCTAGATGTGATAAGGCCAATCATCACCTGTATGGGTATGATATATAATTATTAGAATTCTATACTATTCTGCCCGAAGTTATAAAATTTAGTAATTATAAATATTAAATATTGTCTTCAATAAAATACTAATATATGCTTAAGCTATAGTTTTTATTCTTGACTTATATATCAATCTAACTCGTTTACGTGGGGTAAGGAAGAAATCACTCATTTGTAATACCTTTTTCATCTGTTTTGCTGAGTTAAAATCATAAGAAAGAAAGATTAAAACACAGTTTGGTAATTCACAGGTTAAATGTGTGAACTTTTGCTTCATTTTATTAGTTGGAGGCTTACCATTACAATGTTGCCCCGAAATCAAAGCCCTTCATCCCCAATGTATGGCTGTTCCGTATTCAACTGATGACCCATTTTTCTCCCAATTTAATTACACCTGTAGGAATCTTGTGAGGAGTGCCGTGTGCCCTACGTGTACATTAGGTAAGTTTACGTTTTATATAAGTCACAAATTACATTTGCTATATTTATTAATTGGAGTACTTAAAAAAACTCCTTTTTTTCTTAAATACGGTTAAGTTTGAAAAAATGTGTAATAATTTTAGCATTATAAATTATGTAAATGTTTTCAAAATATAACGTACTTTATGTTGACTTTAATCTGCAGTAAGTTAACTTTTCATACATTTCCTTCTCATGTGTAACAAATAGTGTCAAATATGCTTCATTTTGAATTTCGTTTGCGATTAGTTTCGTTTTCTAGAATACTGATACAAAAACAACGGCCATTGATTCGTACTTGGGCAGCCAATCTGTTACGGCCCAAGTTTATCCAATCAAGTTTAATATCAAATAGTCCTTCTCACAATCAATGAAATTATTTTATTTTTTATTACTTTTATTACTTTATTTTTTATTCACATACTAAAACTTGCCTCTAAAATGCTTATGACATTTAATTGGAATTTCCATGTCTCTGAGCTTACAGAACAATGAGGAAATTTCTAGAACGTTCATTACTAATACGAATCGAGAGAGTTTATGAGAAATCCTACATGCTTATATTAGAAATCTTATCTTCCTTGTCTTAAAGCTCAGAGAAAGATATAAGGTTATATTTAGTCTAATAATGAAACTTTAGTCCTATAAACTTGCTAGACAAGTAGCGAGCTATTGCAGTGTCTGCAATAGCATAACGAGACCTACAAAGGTTTTTAAGCAACCTTTATTGAGAACTTTTAATAAAACAATACATGGCTCATGCTACAGATAACCACTACTTGCGCAAATGAAATTCAAATGAAATAAAAACTACAGTGCAAATGAAATAAGAACAGTTAAATTAATTTAAATGTGTGTGTAAGTTTCATGTGTCGGCTGCTAGAACATACAAAGCATATAAAATTACATTTAGCTAGAGCTGGCAGAAATCTGAAGGGATTCAGATTTTAAATTACGTCCAAAGGGGCCTTTTTTAACGTTTTGTGCATTACCTTTATTTATTAAATATCATGTTCTACGTACTCAAACCATAAAATTCAGTTCAAAATCATATAGCAAATTAATTTTAAAATGAGCATATCTTTAAAACAGCCTCGCGAGCGGAGATAAAAATGTTTTTTTTTTCGCTTTGAAATCGTTTAGTTTTTTAATCAAAAATTCGTTGAAGTGTTACAAAATTTGAAATCAATAATAAAACAAATTTCAAATTCATATTAAAGCTTCCACATGCCCATATTATATGGAAGATTACGTTATTCAAATTTTGATGGCTTTAGGTACCGTTGTTTTATCACAATACGAGAAACATACCCACATTTATGCAGATTCTTCATTATTTAATTTCTTTAAATATAAGACAGGGCGATAATATATGGTGGCAACGATCTGAAAAATGATACATCTCTTTAAAGTTTTCAACGGAAAATGTCAAAACGAAATTAATAGTCCATCAGGGCAAATTGGCTCTTTAGACTAAAAAAATAAAGGGGGAAAGTTTCTATATCTCCAGTTCTATTGAGCCAATTGAAGAAATTCAAATCGAGTTTTTCATATCTCGAAAGCGCGAATTAAAATAGATATATTAGATTTATATATAGCAATCATTTTAACTTGGCTATTTTGCCTGCCAATGGATTTTTCCATATTTCGATTCTACGACTCAAGTTATGCCTAAATATTAAATTATGTAAAATTTGGTGCGAAATTTACGGAGAAATTAAAAATTTATCTTGACGTATTTTTTCAGTTTTCGCCAAGAATAGTTTACTTGGAAGACTTCTTAATTTATAGCAACATATTTTCCCTTTCTTTTTTCATTGTAGAAGAGCGGGAAAAAAATCATCCCTCATACTTTCAAATAATAACACCAAATGTGATTTATGCATTTTGTTAAAATTATCACTCGAAAAAAAGATGCCAAATTTCAAAACGCTCCGATATATAAATTCATGTATATCTTAGAAAATTTTGAATTAAAAAAACTCTTCTCTTTTTCAGGTGTGCTTAGAAATACATCTACTTTAAGATGATGTTAAAATTTTATGGGTTATAATGCAAAAGATTTTCGAAGCATTTATATAAATAAATATTTAAAAATACAAATTTTTTAAATTAATCATAAAAATTGTGCGAATTAATACTTGGATTAAGCCTAAATTTCGAATTCTGGAAAAAGGAATAAAGTAAGTTTAATTAAAAAAGATATATTAATAAATATATATCAAATTCAATTAACATTGAGGAGCTACAATTTTAAGAGACAAGTTTTTAGAAACTACTAGTGCGATTTTTAAAAAGTTGGCAGCTTGGCGTAATATTAGTCGCAGCATCGAAATATGAAAAAAATTGGCATGTCATTTCAGAAAAAGTCAGATTGTGTGTCAAATTACCTATATTAGAACAACGCTATATATAAACCTAATACATATCTTAAGTCGCGCTTTCGAGGAGACATGGAAAAAAAGTTAATTTCGTCAATCGCCCAGTAGAACGGGAGATATAGAACTGTCTCCCCTTTTTTTGAGCAGTGAACATGTAAACATCACCATTACAAAATATAAATAAAACTGTAATTATTCACATCTCAAAACGGCTGCAGTCACTTGATAAGTCAGCTTATAATTAAAAAATCTCGTAAGGCTCTGTTATTCACGTACCGTTGTTAGAATATTGCCAGCTCTGGCTAAATGCTATTATCTCGGCCTTGCGTTCTCTCACAGCTGGGGCTTTAAACTTAGGCTGCGGTTAATTATTTCAGCCAGCTTGCAGTTGGATTATTTAATTTTGTTGTCTTAGACTACTGATCAACTTTTAAATTAATTTGATTGTTAGTCCAAAGGGGCAATTTACTCAGAAGGACTAATAATTTCGTTTTGGCATTTTGCGTCGATTCACGATAAGCGTTGTTTCACTTTTCAAATTGCTATCACCAAATATCATATTTATTTTTATCATTTTAAATATCATATTCATGAATATGATATTTAAAGAAATTAAATAATGAAGAATTTGCATGAATGTATGTATGTTTCTCGCATTGTGATAAAACAGCGGAACCTAGAGCCATCAAAATTTGAATAACCTAATCTTCTAGAGAATATGGGCATGTGGAAGCCCTAATTTGGATCTGAAATTTGTTTTATTATCGATTTCATATTTTGTAGCACTTCAACGAATTTTTGATTAACATATTAAACGATTTCAAAGCGAGCACTGTACGAAATAAATAAATAAATAAATTATCTCCAGCGCGAGAGGCTCTATATCGGAAATTCTAAAGATATGCTCATTTAAAAGTTATTTTGCGTTATTGATGTTGAAATGAATTTTATGGTTTGAGTACGTAGAACATGATAAATAAAGGTAACACACAAAAAGTTAAAAAAACGCCCCTTTCGACGTAATTTAAAATCTGAAACCTTTCACATTTATTTATTTATTTATTTATTTATTAGTATTTAATTTACATCCTCACAAGTAGTGGTTATCTGTAACATGAGCTGCATCCTGTCTTGTTAAAAGTTCAGTTTAATAAAAAGTTGGTTTAAAACTTCGGTTATACTAATTTCAGACATAGCGACCTGCCTAGTAAGGTGGTAGGACTAAAATTCCAATTTCAGCTCAAGCATAACCTTCTAAACTTTAAGTCACATCTTATAGCTGCCTCAATGACATTTCACTTAAGTTTAACTAGCAGTTAAGAAATTAGTTTTTTAGTGAAAAGGCACTTGATTATACATAAATTAATTAAAAAATTAGTCGAATCTTTCTTTTATGCCTCGTTTTATCACGTACGCCTTAAGTCCAGAGATATAAACGCAGATTAGTTTGGCAAGCGGCGTTTTATATATTGACCGACAAAATCTCAACGTATGACTTTCAGGTAGATGTTTGGCTGTGGGAACGACTATTTCGTTTGCCTTACACCTAGGACAGCCGTTGTCCGATTAAGATAGTTTACCAGACATGTAGTCCAAGTAGTAAGTTTGTCTTGATTCAGATTAGATTGTTCGGCCTTAAGGTCGTTTTGGCTTGATTAGAAATACTGGTACTGCTTCCAGCAGAACATCCACTTCATTGTTGCATAACCGAGGAGACTTATTTTTGTTTTACAATACTTTAATTTAGCATTCAAAAGTTGTGAGGTAGCATAAAATTATGTTTTTACTTGCTTACGTGCTTTTGTTTCCATAATTATTTTAAGCTACAGGCGATAATTCGCATCATAATACAGCTACAGGCGATAATTCTCATCATAATACAGCTACAGGCGATAATTCTCATCATAATACAGCTACAGGCGATAATTCTCATCATAATACAGCTACAGGCGATATCTAGTTGCATAGCTAGAGGGAAAGGACTGCTCAAACCGCCCAGGACAGTACATTTTTCGGAGCGGCGTTTTTCGAGTGAACGATTATTTTACGGGGGTAAGTCAAATGGATCGTTGATCCAAGTAAAGAATAATTAGATTCTAAGTTGTCATAAGGCATTAAATTGAGAAGAAACTCTACATAAATGTATTCAGAGAAATCATCATGTAATTTCAACAATTAAACTCTTTTGTTCTACTTTTTTTATTCCGTAGATTACGAATATCAACTAAATTAAGATCACGGTGAAATTCAGAAAAAATTTCTCGTTAAGAAAGAATATTTCAGAGTTTTATTTCAGTTATTGCTAGAGAAATCGAAACAGGAACATGGAAGAATTATTTCTTCTTATTAAGGTTCTTTGGAAATTTGTAGTTCAGGATAAAATACACTCTCCAGAGCAAAGTTACAAATATTGCAGTACTAAAAACTTATCTTTCCATAACTGTAAGTGCTGCTAGTTGAGAGAAGTGTTTCCTAAATAAAAGTCATTTAAGAAGTATTTAAGAACTAGAAACGTATATTTTGCATGCATGGCAAATGGAGCAGTCAAGTATACCTCTGCAATCTCATCGAAGGATTTGAGATTGAAATAACAGTAATAATATAAATAATAATATAATTTTAAAATAATAGAATTAAAAATTTTTCTTCAGAAATAACATAGGTTTACATTTTTAATTTGGGGAGGTTTTATACTCGTTATTTAAAAACAAAATTATAAGAAGTTTGACTACTATACGACAATAATTAATCGGGATATTTAATTTTAAAATTTTCAGTTTTTGAAGTAATTTTCAACTTGCTTTGCGGATAGCTAATTAATTTAGAGCTAATTAATTTAGGCTAGCTAATTAATTTAGGCTAGCTAATTAATTTAGATTATTTCGAGGAAATATAAGTTTAAGTGAAGTGCAGAAAAAATTTAATAGCCCGTACATGAAAGTTCATGTGAAAGAAGTGGAAGACATAGAAGTGGTTATACATAGTTCGTACATAGAAATGGTTATCTACATCAGACTTTTTTATATTTTGAAAAATAACTATGTATGTACTACAAAGACGTGAATGCTTATTTTTTGTATTTAATATCAAACTTACTGGGGAACGAAGAGAGTGCATATCACTTTTTGTGTGTATGTGTAATACGTTATTGACAGTCATATCGTTTGAAGTTTGTGTCATTTTCAGATCAAAGAAGACATCTAAATCAAGTAACCGCTTTCATTGATTGCTCATTTGTATACGGAGTGAATGAAAAAGAAGCAAGCTATTTAAGAACCAATGACGGCACAGGTAAATATCTTTCAAACGAAGGTCACTTTTGGTTTTTAACTTTACCTGTGCTAAATTACATGAGTGTAGTTGGAACTGAAACGTGGATCTGTTTACTTGTGTGTTTAATTTTTACAGTCATGATAAATCTTTTCACTTTTTTGGTCTTAATTTTATTATTTAGATTTTACACGTGGGCTTGGAGTTATGTTTCCTTCTTTGTTTAATACTTTCTTTTGTTTTTATTAGAAATATATATTGAGTTTTATGCCATTTCGTGTTTTCAGTTCGACATTTTATTCAATCGTTCACCAGTCCTTATTATAATCGCGCACGCTTCTTTCGATCTTCTAGAATTTCATAAGATTATCCTTTGAATATAAATAAAAATATATTACGTTACAATGAATATGTAAAATCAAAATCCTACGCAAATGCAGAATAAAATCAAATGCAAAACGTGCTATTGAAAAAAAAAATACAAAGGTATTAATAAACCTCATTAACAGATAAATGCGTGATCAAGAGCAAGAAGGGAAAACTTCTAAAATATTTTTAATGTTAAAGGACATGACACTACTTTCGTTGTGTCTTAAGGTAACGTAGCTTTAAAAAAGTTTAAATCTGCTTATTTTAAAACATAGAGTAAGAAAGTTTTATTCACGTAAGGAAATTACGTTACGAAATACTTTCTTTTCGTCAGCAGCATTTTCCACAAAAAGGAATCTAGAATACTTATGTAAACAGGGTTTTAGAAGAAGAAGGAAGAACACAAATTAATGTATATTTCTTTTTTCCTCATTTTAAGTTTCATTTTTACCGACTCATCTATTTTCTTAGATAACCCTGTGTAAACATAGATGGATAAACCCAAAGATGAACATAATTAATTATGCAGGGTTACCTTCTAGAATCCAAAAACTAATCTTGAGATTCATGTAAATAAAAATATTCATCGGAGAAAGCCCGTGAAAATGAATATTTTCGAGTCTTGGTTTCAGGGATCACATTCTAACCAGAAAAAAAAAAATTTAAATGGCCAGACACTTTATTTAATAGCCATTAGCCTTGCGCCACTACAAGAGCCGGAAGTGATGGAGAATAAGAAACTAGCCTGTGTTTGTCGTAAATTCTACGTGTCCAAAGACTAAATCTACAAACTAAAATTTACGTTATATCTGAACAATACCATTTTTATGAATTTATGCTTAACATGGTTGTTAGAATAATTGGAGTAAGACCTCATAGTCACTGAAATTTCAGTTGCGTTTTCAACCTTCTAAATATTTTAAGCAGCGTTTCAAAAGAATGGAATGTGCTCCAAAAGCACTGCAGGAGTTCGTCATCTCGTTATGACTGCATGAGACATCTTGTTTGTTGACTGTATGCTATTTTTAGAAGACACAGCTAACCGCAATCAACCTTACTTGATAAGTCAACTGGCAATTCTCCTCTGTTGCAGCAGAACAACGAATATATCTCTTCAACCCGTTGCTCGAAATTTGAATTACATTGACTGTTTACTCGAAGATGATCTGTGTGATGTTATTCAGAAAGCGCCCACAGAAAATGCTTGCAGCGATTAAAATTTACCGTCATCGAAGGATACAGCAATAAGCCAATATCCTATTCTCTGACGAGATTTGAGCCAATCTCCAACTGTTTTCCAAACATTAATTCATATAGCCTGAAATAAGAGAAGTGTCCCAGCAGGAAAATGTACAAGGATAGTATCATTATGACGGCATCTTAATCAGCAGTCGTATAGAGCTACATGTGCTAAACAAAGACGCCAAAACGGGGGAACATTAGTGTGAAAAGGATCATGCCATATTAACATGTATTGATTTATCGTTGGCGAAACGATTTTTAAAGTGAATGCCATGTCTCATTAGGCAGTGATATTGCCACGTCGTATCGGAGTAGGAGAATCTCCTGGAGAGGAAGGATATCCATTGAATCGGCTGAATTGTATCTTTCTCAACTCTAGCTTCCACTGAGCATGTATGAGAACAGGTACAGGTAAAAGTGGGCGGAACATTAAAATTTCATCACTGGTCACACAGGTAAAATCCCGCCACACTAATTCTACAGTTCCGCCCCATTTTGAGCGACCCCTAACCCCGGCGGGCGGTTCAAGATTCTTCCAACCCTCTTTTCCTAATAACAATGCTTGGAGAGGACTTTCTTCTCGCCGTGTGGAGTAACCCTTTGTGGCACAGACAGTATATATTTACATACATATATGCTTTCTCTGGGGTTCGAACCCAGATCCATCGGTACGGCAGTCAGAATTACTAGCCACTATACTAGCTGGACGGCAGTGTTTATGAGCATTATGAAAAGACGAGTAGGAGCTCGCGATTCATTGCCGGGAAACAGCAGTGCTTAATTATGTGTTCTAAAGAAGGAGTGGACATGATGACCAAGGAATTCTCAAGTCAACGGAAAATGAGGTGTCACGGTTTTGTGATTACATTACAGTTCGATGTGGTCAAATTCCTAGTCAAATTATCTGGATATTAAGAAGTGCTTTTATCTTAAGTGAACTCAATTTTACTCAACTTCTGCAGCATTAGTAGAAAGATTTTGTAGCAATATTTTGGTTTGTTATTTCTATTAATTGTTTTTTACTATCTGGTATTACATATCGGGAAGTAAACAACTTGCCACTATTGCATCATTTATGTATTAATTTCCTTTACACGAGCAAGAAAATATCCCCTTTTTTACTTCAAGTTTCTGCAACAAATATTATCTTTAAGGGAATACTTCTTTATGGTACCATTTGAATAAATCAGAAGTGATTAATTTCTACGGCGTACTTTTCCCTTACAAAAAAAAAAAAAAAAAAAAAAAAAAAAATTGGAGAGTGCATGATTCCATAGAACTTTGAGTGAATTATTAAATTCGTGTGTAATTCCAAATGATCTGGAGAATCTTCCTTTCAAAAGAATTTAATCGGCAATTTTCCGAATTTTGTTTTCGCATATATTAGAAGTAAGTAATGTATTAGAAGATGTTAGATTATTAGAATTGTAATGTTTTCGCAGAAGTATGTAAGTTCGCATGTATTAGTAGATGATGTTACAAGAAGTGTCGTGATAGAAGTTTTCAAAATTGCTTTTAAAATACGGGTCTGTAATATTCTAAATGTGCCGTGTTTGTCTGAAAACTGTCTGAACAAAATTAATTTGTGTCATTTCTGGATCAAATGGCTGCATTTTATGAAATATGAGTTGATGTTATTGCCTCACTTTCCGTTTGTTTACGCTTAGGAATCAAAACTATTAGTATTAATTTAAACACTGATGTGTAATACTTTAAAATTTCGACTTGCTGTGTTCTCTTTTTACTTCCTTGTACAAAGTAAAGGAAGTATTTTAATGACGAAAAATTCCGGTATTTCAATGAAAATATCCATTTTGACCACTATCGAATTTAACGATGTTTTTACTTGACATCTGTACGTAAGGACAGAATAAAGAGTTCGTTTTCCCCAAGCGAATTACAAAACTCATTTAAAATGAATTCAGAAGAGAATTTTTCGTGCCGTCTCTACGTACGTACGTATTTATGTATGGATCTCGCATAACTCAAAAACGAGTAGCTTCAAAACGTTGAAATTTTATGTACAGGACTGCTATGATATATATTGTTATGCACCTTCCTTTTCTGTTGCAATCGGTCGCAGCAAAAGCATAAAATATATATATATACCTACTCTGTTACTATGCTCGGTGATCTCAGTTTGTTTTATTCTTATATATTGGTAAATTGCGCCTTTTTTGCTTAAAAAACAATTGAATTATGCCGTTCTTATCTTCCGGTTAAGGTTTTTATGCCTTTAATTAACCTACATGCAATAATTATAGAATTCTGAACAATTTAAAAGTTGTTTAAGTGCGGCTAATTCTAATTTTTGTTTATCATAGCAGCCATATTTGTTTGCGTTTGAAACGTAGCGGAATAGTGTATTTGTTTCCAATCTAGAGAAACCAAGCTTCGCAACAACAAAGATAACGTATTATTTTATTATTGCGAATTAAATCATGCTTAATACATTCTGGAATTAGCGTTATTAAATTATCCCATACATTGACTCAGGACAGCGTCCACAACAAATTCAGTTTCTACGCCTTCAGTGTCTTTCTGCCAAGTGAGACCAAAAGTAAACTTTCAGTTTTGTGCACCGAAGAATCTGCCTTCTTGTCTGCTGACCGAATCGCTTGTTTTTACATAGAAACCCTAATTTTAATTGTAAAAGTTGTTCTTTAAATTGTTTTAACTGTATTTATGCTTTGAATTTTTCAATTTTTAACAAAAAATATTTTAAAGTTTTTATGTATTTTTGCCTTGTCGCGAAGTGAGAAGTGAATTAATTGAATGAGAAATATATCTTTAATGAAATAAGTTTAAATAAAATGCTGGAGAAAATGCATATAATTTCATATTACGTACCAATATTATTATTATTTGCTATTTTTACTTCAACTAATTTGATCAAGGTAAAAGAAAAGTTGCTTATGTTGTTCTCAGCGGGTTTGTTGCCTGCGCCAATGGTTGTTGATCGTTCTTCTTTTTCATCTATTTTCTTAGAGACTGATAATCCAAAACTGATAAACACATTCTTTATACAAAACATAGGTTTAATACGAAGCAAAATATCTACATATATATTTACAGATAAAAAGATTTAAATTTGGCACGACGCAGCGTGCAACTTCTCTCTTCAGAGTTGAGCGAGCTCTGCCAGTAACTTCATAGTTTGTAATGACGTCACATAGCAATATCGGATCTCAACAAGGGTTGAGTTGGAACATCCTCCGGCCCGGAAGAACAATTTCTGCACTTGTCCTTAGTACATTCCGATTCCACTGTCTATAGTAGTTGCACTGATCTTTTAATCGTATGGCCATTGGGCAAACGGACAGCACAGGGTCTCTCCTTGACATCTCTTCCTGGAAGGATTTCCATTATGATACCCATCTTCCACATCAACCTTGGAATTTGATCTTCAT